GTCAAATAGCACTGTGTCTAGGAATTCTTTACATACTCCGATTTATCAAAATTTAATTTGGGAACTCCTACTATTCGCTTTTCAAAAGCATAGAACGTTATAAGAACAATAAATTTGTTAAGCGTTTATAGTAACCGAAACATAAATATGCGAACCAAACTAAATAGCCAAACATTGTAACTAAACATAATCAGCAAAATGTAGTTCTATGCTGTTGGAGTACCTTTCAGTTTCTTTGAAGAGGCGAGTGGAAAGGGTTCGTAAGTTGGCCCAACCAGAATCTGTAGGGGGAATGCCTTAAAGACGTGACTGTAGATTTGTGTGAATATGTTCATAACACAGCGCTCTGCGAACCCATGAATCCTTGCTGAGCTTACGTCCGTCATGTGACGGATATCGACACAAGAGGGCACCATGTTTTACGACAATTTATCAAAACAGGAAGACATTAAAGTTAAGGGCTTCAAATCTACCTACTTCTTAGTTTTTCTACATACTTACATAGCACTATGCAGTTTATTCGCTTTATTTACAGCAATTGCAAACTAACCAATTTTGCCTATTTACAAATAATATACATTAAAATATAGGTTGAAAATTTTTAAATGGAAAATATGCAGTCTTTTAGAAGGCACTATGTATTTATGATAATATATACAATAATATATATGCGCATCTAGTTAAAAATGTAATGTAGGCTGATTTAAAATGGCTATACGGTTAAGCCAATGGGGATCCAGAAAAATAACGCACATATGAACTATTGCTTTTTGTAGGTAAATAATATGTAGAATAAATAAAAATGTGTTAATATATTAGCCAAAAGGCGAACTCGATAAGTAAAATTGCTGAACACATGCTTATTCTATTTATTAACGCCAATTTGTTGCAAAGCTAAACAGCTGTTGCTTTACATAACAAATAAAAGTAAAAATATATCAAATCCCTTCATTGTTAAGTCTATTGAAGGACAGTGTATTAGCTGTATATTGATACAACTTTCCCATCTCCATTACTTCTTTTTTCTTACAACTTTAGTTTGTCAAGTAGAAATAAATGAAACAAATGAAAAAATATGTAATCCTTGGCATGACAGCTAATTATTCTATTAAAACTCCTTATTTTGGAATGCATATTTAATATAGCTTTTTATATTTTTAAAATCTTCTTTTTTACTTTGACTCTTCCGCTGACTCAGAGAGTTCAGAAAGTGGTTCCAATGAGCGTCGTCTGGAGACTATAGGTGATAGTTCTGCACTTAAAAGAGATCCCATGTAGCAGTTTCCTACAGGAGATCCATCCTGACATGAATTTATACTTGTATTCTGATTGGTGTTGAGGTTACCCCCCCGCAACAATAGACGCTCGGACGAAGTACTCTTTCGCGAAATTCCACCTGGATCATGTGTCGGATACCGTTGAAAAGCACGGATCCAGGCTGGAAGATCTTCGGGGCGCGGTACTTCTATCAGAAGAGAATGACCCTCTCCGGAATGAGTGACCACGCGCATAGTAGTGGGGCCCAATTCTTCGACAAGTGTACTTCGTAGCGATAGGCAATAGGCAGAAGACAAGTTAACCCCTGCAGTATCATCACCTGTGCTTTCAATTACATCACTTTGTGGTACTCCATGGTAAAATACAGCAAAGGTTGGTAAAAGATTTGTTGGCTCAGAATGCGATTTGTCAGCTGACTGTTCACCCCCAATTCGTAGAACAGTACCTCCACTATAGATCTCAACCCAAACGGCCCGACGTATTGGCATTCCTGCCTTTCCATCAAGTAGGGCTACCCAGAGTCGATTTAATGTTGAACCAGCTAAACCTTTCGTACCATAAGCAAGTGCCTCATCCGTCCTTGGGGAGGGTTGCGAGGAAGGAGTACTAAGAAAATTGCTATTCGGTTGATTTTCTGAAAGCATTGGCGTTTTTACCCCTTTATCTGTGTCCTTATCACCAAGGAATTGTTTTGAAGTTATACTATCCAATTCCGGTCCTTGAAAAAATTTGTTGATAGAAAGGGAAGAAGCCATAAATGATTCTTTTAGCAATCCTTTTTTCTCACAATAGTCTTCATATTCCTCCTGATATTTCAACTCATCTTCGTCAGTCATTAATTCATGGCTCTCTCTGTCTTCATCCTCAACTTTACTGCTAGTATCCATAGTAATGAGGATTTGTGGAGGCGCAGTATATCCCAGACTATGCGTTGAAGAAAGTGCAGCCATGTTTATTACTTTGAAACTCACTCCGTATTAACACAAATAGCAATTTGAAAATAATTATCCAACTTTGTTTAATAGTATAGCTCAGCCATATTTTAAGGCGATGCCAATAAGTTCCACGGAAAAAATGTATAGCATAATAAAGGGATCTTACATAACCTAGATTCTGATATAACCATCCTGTATCAACTTAGTTCTAACGCCAAAGATCAATGAGAAATAAAAATTTGCCTATTGGTGAAGTAAATTGGCCAATCATAATAAGATGTCAATTTATTTCCTTATTCTTCCAATCTGGAAATAGTATCCTACACACGAATTGACAAAATAAAAATTAGAAAGTTTTTTATGAGAGGAGTAGTTTGATATTTCTTTTACTTATCCTTAGACATTTTTTTATATAGATATACATCCTTTTCATTTACTTGTATAAAGCATTACCCATAAAACCGTGTAATCTGACCTAAATGAGCCAATAAATGCTTTGGAACCAAGGCTATGGGGAAAATAATAGCAATTTCCCTAGTGCGCTTAGATTAATTGAACCTTATATTATGCATTATGCTGCCAAATTATAATTTCTAGATGGTAAGAGTAAACTTGAAGATAGTGAGTAAAATATTAAAAATGAAATTTGACCTATCCGAATTAACCTTTAAAATCATAGATAGTGATTAAATTGTGTTTTGAAATTTGACAAGCAAATATAATGACAAATTTAGCTTAAAGTTTTCCATAAAGCCAAAATATTAATTGAATTATTTTATTATAATCCGTTGCTCACAGTTTTTTCCAAACTTCTATTAAATACTTTTTACTTTAATCATTTAAAACCATTTGTTTGCAAACTAAAAGTCAAATTATGGGATGTATTCACCTCATTTCGTTTAAGGTGATTAAGGACTGGTAGTTGAATTTCCCTGCAATAATATGAGTAAAGCTGATATTTCCATTGAATTTTGCATAGCCTTACTATTCCAAAAGGCATTCACATCCAGGGTGTCCCGCAGTTTTGACCTTAGCAACAACTCCTGCGGGAGTCGAACCATGACAGTGTAGCCTATAATCTCGACACGTTAGCCATTACGCTACATTTCCATAGGTGCCATTTGGTCACATGGCAATATGAATTTCAAGGAAGGCCAGGCATTTTTCTATATCACATTCTTTGTTGGGATTGTAGATGCAGCATAGTTGTATTTTCTATGGCAATCTACTAAATTACTCATTTTTTGTTTATAAGTCTCATATTACTGATTTACTGGTATTCTAGAAGGCGTACTTATGAAGGATAAATAAAAGCCAAATAGGTTAGGCATTCCCTAAGGTTCGACGCAAATTTTACCTATTTAAATTTATGATTAGCATTAGTAACTAAAGCTATTCTAGATAAATATTTGAAAATTGATCTACACTACGAACCAGCCCGGTGTAGTGTATAATCTCGACACGTCGACTACTACACCACATTGATATGAGTGCCCTTGAGTCGCAAAGCAGATCTGAATTTCCAGGAAGGGCAGACATTTTTCTAATGTCACATTCTGTGGTGGGATTGTTGATGTAGTAAGATTATATTTGTTATAGTGAGAAATAGTACATTACTTATTTTTCGTTTTCGAAGAAGGCTATTGTGGTAACCAGTAGAACGTGTATATGAGATGTATTCACACTAGTTCGTTTAAGGTGATACGGGGACTGTTAGTTGAATGTTTCCAACAATGCTATGAGTATGCGTTAAGTTTCCATCAAATTTCACATTGCCTAATATTTGCAAGCTTGGGCCTCAGAGCCTATGCGCTCTGATAGGTACATATGGGCTAATAAATACTTGTGTAAAACCATGGAAAATAAAAATTTGAGTAAAACCTATACTATGACTGTTGTTGAGAGATATCAGGCAACAAGTATGATAGGAAACTAAGCTTCTGAACCATAAGAGGTCCAAGTCTAATAAGCAATTCCTGCAAATCGAAAAGGATGGGGAGCAAAGTAAAAGAGCGAGTCTGATAATGCAAACCTAAGCTCGCCAAAAAAGGGCACTTGTGGCAATGTGGTAGACTGGTGAACGTGTCAGGCTCCCATCCTGCACTTTCGTGGTCCAAATCTCGCTGAGGGTGTTGATAAGACCGATGTGAGGTCGAAATTGTAGTCCACTTCCGCCTAGATGAGATCAACTTTTTGGCAAGCAAGGCTATGTGAAATTCAATGGAAACGTCAGTTCTGCTCATATGATTGTGGAAAAATTCTTCTACCAGTCCTTCATCACCTTAAACAAAATGTAGAAATTAATGTAGAAATTTAATGAAATAAAAATTCACTTTTTGGCTACTCATATCAATGTCGAAAAGTTCAACGACTGGGCCTTTATTACCTTAAACGAAATAGGATGAACTCAGCTCATATATCTGATTTACTGGTAGTCTAAAAAACCTACTCAAAACGAAATATATTTAATTTTTTCATAGTACCGGAATGCGATTATAAACAATGTGTACTTCCAAAATAGCTTAAGGAGTGAATAATAAACTGAAAACAAAAGTGATCTCTTTAGCAGTAGGAATTGTAAGCCCCTTTAAAGGCTTTTTAATAAATAGGGCTTTCTTACTTTTTAATAATTATCGAAGTTTATGCAGTCTATTTATAAACTAATATTATATAATCTTCTTCAGAATCTTGATGATTGTAAATATAATTGTATGATAATCTGAGATCTGATACCATTCACAAAAGGGTCACTATATCTTACTTCATAACTTTTTGCATGGTTGCATGTTTTGAGATACACTCTATTGAATATTTTGATTTCGTCTGTTTTATAACGAAAGTATTAAGACAGAAATGTTTAAGGAACCAAATATATTTACGAGACTAAATAAATATTTCTCCCTTTACACAGTGACTCATTATTCTAGAAGATTTCTAAGAGTATAATAACATGTTTTCGTTTATAAGTAGCTCTTGTTTGAGCTTAATATACGGTGAAATAAGCAGGAGTCAATATGACAAGTTGCGAAGACAAGGTCAAAAAACTTCTATATAACTAAGGGTGGCTTCGACCATACTAAAGGTCACAGCATCCTGAATTTCATATCTTCCATCAAAGCTCGATAGATTATTGAATATAGATTGGAATACTGAATGATAAGTATGATAAAACTTTATCCACCTTCGGCGAAATTAAATCAAGAATATACCCTTTATGAAGGTACAACTTCGTTTTGCTGTGATTTGACTAATCTTCTTTGAAATTACTTCTGCACTGTGACAATAAGGCAATTGCGGAAGTGTTGCGTATTGTTTAACGTATCAAGATTTTGCGCTGCACTACTAGTGTTAGAATACATCTGAGGCTGCTGAAGGGCCATAGTTGAGGTCGTAATTACAGTCCAACTTGGATGAAAATACCTGTTGGAAAGCAATTATACTTGTAATATAATGGAAATGCAAGGCCTGTTCATATCCATTTGAGAAAATTCTGATACAAGTCCTTCATTACCTTAAAGGAAAGTTCGATTTTGAGCAATCTCTTATTTCCTCCTGACCAGCTGTCAATTAGCTTTGCTGGAGCATTCTTGTTAACGCTGTCTCCGACGTAATCTCTTTCGATTCGGTAAAAAAGTGCTAAGCTTTGGTCCCTCGCATTACGAAAATTGTCGTGCAGATCTGAGGAACGATAATTCAAGGAAAAGCACGCCAACTGAGGGAAGAGTGATATATCTAGGTACTTCATAGCATGATATATAAAAAAATGGCACATTTGTATAGAGTACAAAAACAAATTTCACTTTTATGATTTTATGTTTAACTCTCTAAAGAAATACAGTATCTGTATCAAATAGGAGGTCATTAGATAATTGATAAGACTACCAAGCGATATCATAATTTCAAAAAGATCAGGGCCCAATGTGTCCTTGAAGAATGCATAGTTTCACTGCCTTAACAACAATAAGTTATGATTCAAGTGATTTGACCTTTTGCTATGCAAAAACCTGCCGAGAATTGGTAGGAATTTATCGAAAAAAGGCGCAACTGTTTGACCTCTGGTCGACCACCAATAGTTTACCATTATCGCTATTTGAAAAAATCCTGCTATAAAGAGAAATCCATACCGTAAATGATTAAGGCAAGGGTCTTTTCTATTCCCTTATTTATACGCATAATGTTTAGAGCCTCATAGCTATTTTATAATTGTAAAATGACTTAATATTAATAAGATATTATTTGGAATATTATTGAAACAGGTATATTTAAAGATCGGAAGTCAGACACGTTAACCTTTAAAAAACATGGCTCTATCAAAAATGCATGTCCTTACAAGTATGGTTTCCAATATGGACCAAGCCCTACTTAAATGACATCTAACTTGGACAGTTAAATAATAATAAGTGGCCATATCTTTTATATTCGCCTCATCGTGCTTAGCGTCACTATCCGTTGATTTTCAAAAACGTTTTAACCTGGTTCAGCTAACGGTAGGCTGATATTAAAATCTTTTACCAACAGTAAAATATTTAGTAGTTATTTGACCTTGTTTTCGACATATTGGCTAAAATACCTAGAGGAACGCACCTTGTCCGGAGTTCATAGTATGCATAATAATCTTCAGAGTCGGACCGTCGACTCGGTACATTCACAGAAGTTTCGCCGGCATCGTAGTTGGCATCGTCAGTGAGCTTTGACATTCTCAGCAGCAAAGCTACAACTCGTCAAAGAGACAAGTGAAATCAACTCTTTGACTAACTTTCTTCCTAAATGGTTGTTCATTTACCTCTCTTTCTGTCCTGTCCCCTCTATAATAACATTCTGAATTCCATATCTTCCATTAAAGCTCGATAGATAACTGAATATAGATTGGAATATTGTCTTGTCTCGCCCTCGTATTATCACAAATTCTGATATCTTTATATTCCACGGGAAGTGTGTCCCTTTGGCAAGTT